TGTGATTTTTGTTTTTGGCTCTGTTGATACATGTATTACAGTTATTGGCATTTGGGGGACCAATAGGCATTTTAGGGATGAATCCCACTTGGTCATGGTGTGCAATCTTCTTGACAATTTACTACATTTCTGTCTGCTAGTATCTTATAGAAAATTTTTGCGTTTATGTTCATTTGGGAGATTGTCTATAGTTCTCTTCTTTAGTTGGGTGTTTCTATGGTTTTGGTATCAGGCTACTGCTTGCTTCCAGGAATAAAGTAGGAGTACTGATTCCCTTTTAATTTCATTAAAATATTTGAAGAGTATTGCCATTAAATATTCTCTAAGTTTCTTGTAGAATTCAGCAGTGAATCATTTTGAACTTGTGCTTTTCTTTCTGTAAGTTTTTAATTACAATTTCAATTTCATTGACTTACATTGGATTATTCAAAATTTTTGTATCTTCTTAATTTAGCTTTGGGAGTTCATATGTTTCTAGGAATCTGTCCATTTTTTTTATGTTTTCCAACCTCTGTGACTAAAGACTTTCAAAGTAGATACTGATTACGTTCTGAATTTCCCCAATGCGTGTAGTGAGTTCAACTTTTTTATTCCTAATCGCATAGATTTGAATTTTTCTTTCCTTTTTAAAAAAATAGCTAGGTCTTAATTTTATTTATTCTTTAAAATAATCAACTCTTTGATTATTAATTCTTTGTATTGGTTTCTTACTCTCAATAGCATTAATTTCTGCTCTGTTCTTTATAATTTCTTCCTTTGTATGGGCTTTGTGCTGTCTTATTCTTGTTTTTCTAAAAGCTCAAAGTGAAGCATTATATTATTCATGCTCATTTGTTTTCCTGATGTGAGATTCACCACTATAAACTTCCCTCTTAGGAACGACTTCATTGCATCTCACAGATTCCAGTAAGTTGTATTTGAATTTTCATTTTATTGTAGATATTATTTAATTTCTTCTTTAATCTCATTTGTGACCCATTGGTTGTTCAAGAGGGTGCTATTTAATCTCCATGTATTTATGGAGTTCTTGTGGTTTGTTTTGTCAATAATTTCCAATTTTATGGCACTAGGTTCAGATAGTATACATGGGATAATTTTAATTCCTTTTCATGTACTTAGGCATGTTCCATTTCACTAAAATATGATCTATTTTACAGAACACTACATGTGCATTTGAAAAGAATGTGTACTCTGATGTTGAGTGGAATATTGTGAACATCCACTAGCTTCATTTGTTTTTAGGTTTGGTTCATTTCTTTTATTTCTTTGCTGTACTTTTGTCTAGTTGATCTATCTTTTTGTGACAATTGGGTATTAATCTCTCTCATTACAATTTTGCTATTGCTTATTTAATTTTTCATGTTTATTAATATTTTCTTTATATAATTGAGTACTTGGTACTTGGTGCATATATATTTATGACTGTTACCTCTTCCTCTTGAATTTTTCCCCTAGCAAGTATGTAGTGATCTTATTTAACTCTTTTGATCATTGTCATTTTGAAGTTCACTTTGTCTGCAAAACAAAATTTAAAAACACTGCTTGTTCCTGGATTCCTATTGCATCAAGTATTTTCTTTCATCCCTTGACTTTTAATCTATGAATTTCTTTGTGAATTAAATGTGATTTTTTATTTTAAAGAGACAAAAACACGGAAAAATTAAAAAGCAAACAAACAGAAAATAACAACATTAAAAAGCAAAATGACAACAACAAAGACAAATAATAGCAATATAAGATTTCAAATGAAGACAATAGCAATTTAAAATAAAAAATAAATAAAATGAGATCCTTGTTGTTGATTTGTTGTTGTACTTCCCATGCAGTTTGGTTTTGTTCATGAACATTCCATCTACCCTTATGTCCTCAGGATTTCTACCTAGTTTGTCTTCCATTTAGTATTTCTGTCTTAAAATTTAGATCTGGATTCATTTTGACTTTAGTTTAGTGCAAAGTGATAGGAATGAGTCTAGTTTAAGTCTTTAACATGCAGAAAGCCAGTTTTTCAAACCACTTATTAGACTATCTTCCTTCCAGTGAATATGTTTGGCCTCTTTGTCAAAGATAGTATTACTGAGTGTGTTTGTTTTGTGTCTGCATGCTAAATTCTGCTCCAATGATCCTTGGGTCTGTTTTTTTTTTCTTTTTTTTGTTTGTTTGATTGTTTTTGCCTGTACCATGCTGATTTGATTATACCAGCCTGGTAGTACAATTTTGAGTCAAGGATTTTGATGCCTCCTATGTTCCTTTTATTTTGTCCAGAGTTGCTTTTTCTATTCTAGGATTCTTATTGTTCCTGATGAATTTTAGGACTGTGTTCTCTAGATCTGTGAAATATAGTAATGTTATTTTGATCAGAATTACATTAAATCTATATAACAGTTTTGAGAGTATTTTCATTGTCATGATGTTGTTTCTTCCAATCCTTGAGTGAGATATTTTTTCACTTTCTGAATTCTCATTTGTTGATGCATTCTACCCATCTTTTCATTTTGATTGGTTAACTAGGCCATTCACATTGATGGTTTTAACTGTAATGTATTGGCTTAGTTTCATCATGTTATTTTCCTGCTGTTGCTTCTCTACTTTTCTCCCTGTTGAATTATTTTCCTTGTTTGGTGGTTTCTTTCTGCCATTCTTGGAATTTTGGCCATTTTTGCCTATCTCTATATCTTTTAATGCCCTTTATAGCATTGGTTTAGTGAACATGAATTTCTTCAAGTGTTCTTTGTCATGTAAGTATCTTATTTCTTCATTAATTTTGCAACATAATTTTGCAGGATACATCCAACTGGGCTATAAGTTGTTTTGTTTTGTTTGAGGACTTGAAATACTTCACTCCAAGCTCTTTTGGACTTGAGGGTTTGTGCTGAGAAGTCATAATTCTGATGGGCTTTCCTTCATAGTAATATGTTTGTTTTTTTCTAACAGCTTTTAATATTCTATTTCTGTGCTGAATTTCTGGGATCTTGATTATTATATGTCTGGGTGTAGATTTGCTTTTGTTATGGCTAGTTGGAGTTATATATGTCTCACTTATCTTTAGTTCAGGATTTTTACTCATGCTTGGGAAATTTTCTGTCATTATTTCTTCAAATAGTTTTTCATGTCATTTATGTTTACTTCTGCTTTTTCATTGACACCAATTATTCTTATATTATTTTCTTTGCATCAACTTGCAGCTACTGAATTTTTATTTCTTGCTGTTTTGTTATTTTCAAGAGATCTTTCCCTTCATGATTACTAACTACAATCCTGTCTTCAAGGTTTGAAAGTCTGTCTTCATTTCCTTTGGCATTGTCAACTTTTAATGAAATTTTATTTTTCTGGATATTTTTTAATCCACTTCATGCATTCTATTTCAAATATTGGTTAGTCATGATCTCTCTCTTCTTCCTGTCATCATCTATTGATTTAATCTCTCTCTACTCTTGATATACTAAGCAAGTCTATAATAAATGTTAACATTTCTGTTTCTATTGGAGAGCTTATTCCTTATCTGCTTTCCTCTACATTATCATGAATTTATTTCTTTACTTCAGTTGCTATCATTTCAGAGATTTCAGGTGTATATCTTCCAACTTTTTGTATATCAGTATCTCTTGAACTTGTTGTCAGTGGGCTGCAGGTATGAGATTTCATTTTGTTACTTTGTCTTGTCATTTTCTATTTCAAAACAAATTTATTTTGTTTTCTGTGATAATCATCCTGAGTGTTTATATTGGTTAGTTCTATCACTAGTATCAGGACCTCTCTAGGAAAAATCTTTTCTTCAGTGATGTCTTCTTTATGTAGGAGGATCTTGGTTTCTGTCTGTCACAAGATTCTATTATATCCTTATCTATGGGGAGCCATTACTGGCTCCTCTTGATGGAAATATTTGTTAACTATATTCACAATAATCCTGTTGATTCTATTATTTGGCCATGCATACTTAATTGATTCTCTGGCTTTGTCCCTTAAGACTTAAATCTGCATACCTACCCAAGATTAAAATTGCCTGGTATCTACTGAGGGCCATTAGCTAGAAGCTCTCCAGAGTATTCCTGACTGACACTCAACAACTATGATCTCTTTCAGCCTGAAGAATCCAAATGGGTCATCATCCATTTCTCTCTCATGATAGCTCAGGATATTTCTTCACAGAGGGGAATGTTATAGACAGCTAAGTTAGACAGACATATTATAGGTAGTCTGATAGGCTAGGCCTTCAAGAGAGCCAGCACAGAGGACCAGATGTCTTGTGACCTTGGAGTAGACAGACACCTTTGTTTCCACTATGGGACAGGTCCCAAGACAAAAGGCAAAATAAATGTGACCACACCCTAAGTATAAATCAGATATTGATATTCTAAATAGGCATGGATCACTTTGAAGAAACCAGAGATCACTATCCCTAACCCCTACAGGAAGAGTCACTGCTCCATAAGTATGTTCACTTGTTATGTGACTTACTTATCCATTTGTCCCGGACTTGATCAATTTTACCTAACAATTAAATTTATTGGTTAACCATAGTTCTGTCTCACCTCATGCCCATTTGCCTTGTGAGTTCCCATTTTCCCCCATCTTAGACCCAATTCATGTCATGGTTTTGCTCTGTAAAATTCCTAGAAAAAAAATGGAGTCCTTGACAACCCACTTGGGACCCCTTCTGTCTCTGTCAGATAGAAGCTTTCTTTCACTCAATAAATATATTGTGCTCTTAAATTTTTCTTAAATTGTATCAAGTAAAATTCAGAAACTGACTGTGTAACTATTGATTTTGTAGTTTAGCCCACAGGACATGCATATATGGTTACATAATAGAATCAATCATAAATTAGGAATTTCTATGCAAAGTGTTCCCCATTGGTAGAGTGATTTTACTCTGTGGTAGGGAAATTAGGGAGGATTGTGTATAACACAAAGATAACTGAAAGATTCTTGCCCTAGTATGAATTATTGTAAAATTATGGTGATGGCCTAACATGGTGGAAGGCCAAAGTGGGAATGCTTACCCTGATGGCCACTTTCTCCTTCTTCTCCTTTGGCCCAAATTGCAACTTCCTTTACCATTTGCATGCAAAGAAAATTCTAATCAGTTTCTCATGTCTCATAAACACCCACCCCATGTGCTACTTCTGATCAGAGGTGATATAACCTTCTGCTCCTCCTGAATCTGGTCAGAGGAGAAACCAAACCCACACAGGTTGTGGGCTCCTCTCCACATCTTCAAATAAGTAGACCACTTTCACTTTCTCTTTTATTCTGCTTCTCTATTGCACCAAAACTCTAATAATAACCAGAAAGGAAGTAGAAGGAAAGCTGTAGGATAAAGGATGATTGCACAAGATTTGAAAACTAGACAAGTAGGTAAAAAGGAAACAATTAAGAATCAAGTGAAGAATTATCTGAACTAGGTACTAAAATAATGGTCACAAGATTTGGGAAATGATAGGAGGAAGAAAAAAGAACATAGTGGGTTCTGAGGAACAATTGGATAGGGGGCTTACTTTCAATGCTCAATATATCAAGTAGGTTAACTATGACAATTTAATATTTCAAAATGGCTAAGTTTTTATTATTCTCACTGTAAATAATTTTATGACTGAAGAAATAGATGTACCAATTATCCTGATTTGATGATTGATTTGTATTCATGTATTGAAATGCTACACTGCAATCCAACATTTTCAAAATTACCATTTCTATTAAAAATTTGTGTGCATTTTAAAATTTCTCATGAATTTTAAATATAAGAGTACCTTAACATAATGGATGCCATATATGAAAAGCCCACAGCTAACATCATTGTTAATGGGAAAATGGGGAAAATTTTTCCTCTAAGAACAAAAAAAGTTAAGGATACTCACTCTTATCACTTATCTTCAACACTGTCTTGGTAGTCCTACCTAAAACAATTAGGCAAGACATACAAAAGTCATATAAATGAGAAAGAGAGAAATAAAATTATCTGTCATAATTGGTGTCTATATATCCTCCCAAAGCCTCATGCAGGTTTAGATGGGTTTTTTTCAGAGGTAGCTGAATCTAGACTGTGTCACTGATTCATAGTGCAATGCTGGGTTTAAGGGTGCTGGGATAAGGGTGTGAGTGCTACACCCACACCAGGGCAGGTAAATTGCATACAATATAAAGGAGATAAAGGGGATTATTCCCTCTATCTCCTCCCTTGTTGGTTTTGCTTTTTTGTGGGTATCATGAACAGTCTTCTTTTGTGATGTCCCTCTGCCTTGGATCCAACTAACCATGGAATAAAACCTCTACAAGCTGAGCTAATAAACATTTTCCCCTTTAACTGTGGGTGTTGGGTATTTTTTCTCAGCAAGGAGAAAATAACTAAGACAGAATTTGGTACCAGAGAAATGCAATCACTGCTGTAACCATACCTGCCATGTGATTGAGGAGCCTTTGGGAATAGCTTATGAGAACAGTTTGGAATGATTCAGAGATGCTGACTGAAAATGTAGAGCTGGAATGGCTTAGGCTGTACTGTTCAGGAGATTCTAGTCAGAGTTCAAAAGACCAAAAGGCTGATAGAAATACTCCTGGTAAAGATCAGGCTCTGGCAGTTTCTCCTGGGAAGGACCGCATTCACCATAAGATGTGTGTTATAACTTGGCAGAAAGCTTATCTGAACTTTGATCATGTCCAGAGAATTTTCCCGAGCCTAACATTAGGGATGGTAGCCTAATTAATCTTCCAGAAGAAATTTCAAAGCAGTTTAATGTTGAAGCAGTGGCATAGCTACTGTTGGGGGATTTTTAGACAGATTTAAATTGAGAATCAAGAACAAATGGCTCAGCAGAACTATTTAAAATGTTTTGAGTTTGACCAGAAATGTAGGTCTAGTAAAGCTGTGAACTGCAAAGTTATAGCAGAGGAGATCTTGATAACAGAGGAGAAACAGGAGAATAAAAAAGATGATCTGAGGGCATCACAAGAATCAGTAAGACACCACCATTTGCTGTTTCAAAACCGCAATAGTGAAAGAAAGAATTTGCTGTGAAAAGAGAGCCCCAGAGGATCATGTTTCATGATTTCAGAAAAAAGCCTAGAAGGCCAGGGAATTTGTCCGTGGAGGGCAATGTCTGCTGCTACGAGTGTGAAGCCAAATGTGCAGTGTAGACTTCAGAAATTTATGGAAACCAGGAACATAGATTGTCTGAGAAAATCTGAAATAAGGGGCAGGGCAGACCCAAGAACTTAGACAAAAAAGTAACTAAGGCAAGGCTATCACTGTATAACACTGCCAAGCCTGTTGTAGAGTTTGTGCTGGGTGTGGAGCTGATCTTGGCCTCTAGATATGGGGCTCTGCGGCCAGAGTCATCAGTCAGTAGTTTATGAATACCCCTTACTGTCCTACCCACTCTTCACCATTTCTCTAGGCATCTCTGTCCCAGTTGCTGTGCTGCTTTCAGACACAGACAGGAAGCTGCTTCAGTCCCATGCATAGCTGTCCTTGCTCAGCCTTCTGTGTTCCTTTTCCACTGGCAAGTCCTTGGTCTCTCAGATTGTTTATTTCAGGGTGAGCTGGGATGGTGCTATGTGATCTGACTCTCTGCTCCTACTGTCCAAGACTATTCAGTCCTAGTTCTTAATCCTCTTCCAAGAAGGGAGTGCTAACCTCCCACTAGTTACTTTGTGAGCAAAGCAACTACTATTGCCCCTGGCCTCTGCAGTAGTCTGTAACTTCCTCCATTGAGGTAGGATGAGATGCTGTGTGGTACCATTTTGCTCTTGCCCCTGGCATGGGGACAAACCCAGGCTTCATATTCCTGAGGTGCAAGGCTGTTTAATTCCCACACCTCTCTAGCCAGAGGTCATGGGAGAGTGATTAGCTCTTCCATTTACTATGTACTTGTCAGATCTTTAATCTTGTCCCTAGATGTTCCAGTTAGTGCTTGGTGCATAAAAGGTAAGGAGTGAGGGAAGAAAAGAAAAAGGAAAAGAAAAAGAGGAAAGAAAACTGGCCAATCATCAGGGAGGGAGAGGTTCACTCATGTGTGTGTTACTGGAATTTACTGCTGGCCTGCAGCTCCCTCTGTTGGAGGAAAGCAAAGGAGGCAGGGGAGCTTCTATTCTAAGTCTATCCTGTGTGGTTTTATTTAGACACTATTTTTGTATATCCACTTTTTTCTTTTTATAAGCTTTTAGGTATGACAGGAATTTTCCCATGATTCGGAGACCCACCAGCAGTCTGGTGGGTGGCTGGCCATTTTATTAAATCCTTTATCTATGTTTTGCTAGATCTATGAGTTTCTTATTTCAGATCGATTTTGGTTTCAAGCAGTAGATCCTCCCCTTTCTTTCAGTTACCTGTTTTTAGTTTAATTTCTCTGAGCAGCTCTGAACAAGGATCCTTTTCTATTCAACCATGTTGTTTGGTCCTTTGATGTTTTTTGTGAGACAGGTCTTACTCTGTACCTCAGACTGGCCTTGAACTCATGCCAATCCTCCTGCTTCAGCCTCCCCAGTTTTGGGATTACAGACTTGCATCACTATGCCTGGTTTAACAATATTAGTTCATTCTTTTTTTAAAATTTTATTTAAAGAAAGAGTGAACAAAACAGAAAATGAGTAGAAATAATACATAATTTCAAATAAAAAACAAACAGTAAGAAATCACTAGTTGATGATTACATATTGTCCTCTTACAAATACTTGTTTGAAATACAAAAGTGAAACATACAAAGTGGGAATTCAAACAGCGAGACTGCAAACAGTTCTGTTTAACTACCTAACAAAAACTTAGTAACATGGTTATCAGTCCTATACACTTAAACATACATGCAGTTATCCATATCTTCATTTATGTTGAGATTAAACAAAAAAGCAGGCTAAAATCACTCTGAACAAAGAATAATAGTATTGATGGATTTCACATCATGATACTACTAGATACTGCACTAGATACTGTAGTGTCTTTTCTTCAAAGCATTTGTTCATTTTGTCATGCGTTAGGAGATCAGTTCTCAAAAACTGTTTATAGGTTCTATGCATGCATAAATCTTAACATGTATTTCTATCCAACAAAGCAAAGCAAGACAAAACAAAACATATTCTTTATAGACACATGCAAAAAAGACATATAAAACCACTGTACAAGAAGTTCTACCATGTTTACTGTGTTGTCTCTTATTATCTTCAATAGTATTGTCTATATCATCAGACATAGTACTAATTGAATATAGCAGTACTTAACAATATTAATAAAACACAACTTTTTAGTGTAAAACATCAAAAACAGGTAGTAATTAACCAGAATGAGTATCATAGTGAATCTTGTCATCTTCAGTGTAGTTGCCTATACTCTCAGACCGGATACTATCAATCATAACAGTTTTGAATAAAATCTGTTGATACCAAACAGCAGTCAAACAAACCAGATTTAATTAAGATCAGGGCTCCAGATTAAGTTAATTGGAAATTAAAGATCATTACTGTCCTATATCCTGTTATTTTTGAGATAGCTATCTGTGCCCTCAGATCTAGTGCAAGTAGACAAACTGGGCATAATAAAATCTATCTAAGCAGAGTGGTGCAAGTAATATGGGTTTTAAATCCTGTTACACTATTAACATTATCTGCTGCCATCGTTTTAAAGACTATTCCTCTCCCTTTCACTCCCCCAGGGTGCACTGTGTATTTTTGGGTCTCACCAACACCTTCAGTTTTTAGATTGGGGGGGAACCTGTTATTTACTTAAGTGATTCTGAACCTTCTGCTTCCTGGATTTGATCTCTAGTTGTATTCTTTACCTAATAAAGCCTGTTTTTCCAACCTATCTACAAATACTGGTCGAGTTGCCCCTATTATTCTCTGGTTCCGTGCCACATAGAGCATTGTTTTCTCATATTTGATTTTTGGCTCACAAACCCTTTGTCAGGTTAATTATATTTCCAGAAAAGAGCATCTTGGTGGACCCTACTTCCTGATCTACTCTGGTTGTGTTTCTCTTCTTTGTGTGTGTGTGTGTGTGTGTGTGTGTATCTAGGCCATCTATATTACAAATTATAGCCTACCTTCTCTGCCTCATTTGGGTTTGCTCTTTTTCTGCCATTAGTTGTCTGCTTTTCTTCTTCATTCCACTTTCTCCAACATTCATTGAGGCCTCTCTGAAATTCCTGGAATCCTGATACTTTTCTCTCTTTCTGGAATGTCCTGCAGTATTCTCTGCAGGTTGTGAATTCCCCCAGTTCCTCTTTGTCTTGGAAGCATCTTGTTTCTCCATTAATTCCTAGAGATAGTTTTTCAGGGTCCATCAATCTCGGCTGGAGGTTATTTTCTTTCAGGCTTGGAATACTTTGCCCCAAGCTCTTCTTGATTTGATGGTCTATGTCGAGAAGTCTGCTGTGATTTCGATGGGTTTTTCTTTATAGGTAATCTGTTTCTTTTCTCTGGTGCCTTTTAATATTCTGTTCTTATATTGAATTTCTGACATCTTGATTATTATATGCCTGGGTGAAGTTCTGTTTTGGTTGTAGGTGGCTGGAGTTCTGTATGCTTCATATATCTGAATATCATTTCCTTTTCCTATGTTTGGGAAGCTTTCCTTACTTATTTCTGTGAGTAAACTTTGTAGTTCCTTTGTTTGTACCCCAGCTTCTTCATTCACATTCTTTATTCTTAAGTTATAGATCCTTTTGTTGTCTTCTAGCCTTTGTAATGTTATTGCTTGCTTCCTTGTTATTTTTAAGAAATTTTTCCTTTCATGATCCCACATTGCAAACCTGTCCTCCAGTTTGGATAATCTATCCTTAGTTTCTTTCAAGCAGGTTTGCCATTTTTCAGTGGAGTTTTTAATCTCCTGGTAATCTCTTTGAACCTGCTTCATGTATTCTTTGTTTTCTTTATATTCTTCATTAAACATTTCTCTCCTTTTTTTGTGCTCCTCCATTCTTCTGTGTCTTATTGAGAGGTGCTTAGCATTTCTTTTATCAATCTACTTATATCTTGCTTTACTTGGTTAAGTATTTCACTTTTGAACTCATTATGAGGTCCTGAAGATGTCTCCTTATGTCCACTGATGCTGGGTCTGATATTGTATGTTTGCTGTCCTCAATC